AGGACCTTCAGGTCTCTGAGGATGGCTCTGAGGAGCACTCTGAAAATATAACCATTGATCTAGTTAAGACAATTTATCCTTTGGAACAGTCTAAAAAAATTGGCTTGAATTACCTGGTGCCCACGTTGAACATGTAAAGTTTTCATTAAAGGAGCTGATGGGTTGCTTGTAAACTGAAGTCATTGCCTTTCCCTTCAGAATTAGGTTTTCTTTACGACCTCCTCTGTCAGTGAGCACTGTTCATTAAGACTGATTGGGCTGTTTCAGTCTACAACCTTATTTCTGCCTCCTTGGTGGGTTTAACTGAAGGAAATCCCATTGTGACTGAAATGGTCAAGCTGGTTTTCCATCACCAAATGATGTTTTCTCCTTTGTTTTTTTACTCTGTACCAACCAAGCTGTTTCTTTTGAGGAACATTTAGGAGGGAAACTAGGTATGAATTCTTCACAACCAATTTGCAAAGAGATGTGTTTCCTCCAGTTTTCTGTTCATTGGCTTGTTGATCTTGGAATGGTCACATGGAGGAGTCAGTGCCAAGGACAAGCTTTGCAATGATGTGGGGTAAGCAGAGGAGAGGGATCTGTGCTTTCCATAATGGCCAACTAGGTAGGACTTGGCCCTCAAACTCTTCTTTTTAACATTGACAACTTCTTGGGTTTTATTTTGTCTCCTTGTTGTAGAGAGCAAGAGTTCAGGCATCTCCTCCATCCAGAAAGGATGGGATTTTATTTGCATAGGGAAAATTGTCATGGGTAGAGAGAGGAGGAAGAATAAAAGAGGGGGTGAATGTTGGAAAGGCAAAGTAGTCAGATGGGGGTCAAGTAATCTAAACACAGAGCTAGACTAAAGCAGCTTAATGAAAAATACATCATTTAATGTTACCATGATTCTGACCATAGAGGTAGAAGAATGTTAGATGGATTAAAAAAAAAAACAAACAAACAAGGAATAAGGTTCTGTGTGATTAAAAAATCCTTTCTTTTTCCTATCATCTTTCTCTTCATGTCTTCAGTGAATTTACATGTCTCAGTTGTAGAGCTCTGACCATAGAGGTAGAAGAATGTTAGATGGATTAAAAAAAAAAACAAACAAACAAGGAATAAGGTCCTGTGTGATTAAAAAACACTTTTCCTTTCTTTTTTTCCTATCATCTTTCTCTTCACGTCTTCAGTGAATTTACATGTCTTAGTTGTAATGTAGAGCTTGGACTTCTCATACCATGCCAGAGGTCATTGGGTGAAAAGGACATGATTTAAGGCAAATGTGCCCTCTGAAACACCCATTTTTCAGCAAGAGTAGCAAAGCATAATGTAATTAAAACAACTGTCTGTGGCACTGATGTCCAATCACACTGAGTGGAGGATACCTTTCATTTCATTGTCAGGTCAGATGCACAGGGAGGAAGGAAGGGTCAGTGCTGTCTCTCAGATGACAATAATCAAGGGCTGGCAACTCAGCTTTGGAATCTGAACCGACTAGAAGCTCTTGGCAGCAATTCCCAAAAAGCTCAGGAGCCTCACTGCAGTCAGCAGCTTTGGCCAGCCAGTTAAATAGTGTTGGCTGTAAACATTACAAGGCAAGGGGTCAGCCCCTCACGTGTGGGACCTGCCTTCTGTCTTCTAAACCAAGGAGATCCTTGATGGTACCCCATGAACTTCTTCCCAGGTGACAGCAAAGCAGAGGAATTTGTGATGTTCCCATGTTAACCACGACAGGGAGTCCCAGAGAAGGGAGCTGAGGGTTTATACAGGATTTTGCAGCTAGGCATGAATGACAGCACCCTAAATCTAACTGAACTTGAACCTCCTTTGCTTCGTTTAGCAATGCTTCATGTGGATGGGTCAGAGATCAGACTGAAAAGATCATCTACCAACATGCAGCTCCTCAAAACACAATATTTAGTTATTTGTCCATTTATTTTATGGGTGTGCTTAGACATAGAGGCAATTTTCCCAGTGTGAGTGCCTGAATTTTAGGTAACTAAATCTATAGGTAAGCAACCAAACCCCAGATATGTACAGATATTTGAATGAACTATATTGAATTGGACTATATTTGCTTGCAAATCTGGTTTAGTGCTGAAAAATCAAGGTGATATGGCAGTGATAGTTAATATAGTAGTGTAGTGTGGTTAGTTTAGCAGTTATACTCCACCTGCCTGTCTGAAATGGCAGCAATTTGTTGCTTTCTAACGGCCAGGGAATTGGATCCCATGAGCAGTGATGGGGTTTGTGTGTTTGAATTAAACTCCTTGGCTTTTCATGCTTCTTTTGGATGATGCTGCAGAAATGAGGACTGCAGGCTGGCTGTAAAACCACGTGTCACCAAGCAGTCTGGCACAACTTCTCAGTGGGCCTGAGAAAGCAGAAATGAAGCCAGCAGCTGAATGTTGAGTTCTCTGTGAAGGTGGAAAGCCCAGTTCTCTGGGAGCATGGATGGTAGGGTTAGGAGGTACCAACAGCTGGATGTGTTTTCAGTGAGCAAGGTTAGTTTCAGTCTCTCCCCTCTTCTCCATTCCTGGTAATTAATAATCATTAGGCCTAATTAATAATACAGAAATATATCAAATATAAATGAAAATGAATTAGCAGCAATAAGCAGTCATTCTCAAGAAGGCAGAAGGTATTTTTAAACACCCATCTTGTCGCTGGAATTGTCTGTTTCATTTTTTCCCACTATTCCTTTGAGGACATTTCCTTCATTACATTTCAGAAGCCCTTTCAGGTATTAAACCAAGACCAGTGAATCTGTTAGGATGATAACACTCACTTTATTGGGCATGATCCATTGATGTCCAGGTGGTGTGGTGGTTTGACCTTCCAGTTTGTCATTTCCAAGGTATGACAGCATGTTTCTTACTTGGACTGATGTGGTGTAGCACGTGCACTGTGACTGCTGTCAAGGAGATCTTGATCCCCCTAAGCAGTCAGGAGTTTGTCTTTCAGATGGGGAAATAGATGTGGTGCTAAGGCACGTGGTTTGGTGGTGGGTTAACCACTGGACTCAATCTTTAAGGTCTTTTCCTACCAAAGTGGTTCTATGATTCCCACTGGCAGACCAACTCAGTAAGTGCTCAGAGGGATTTACCTGCTCATGGCCACCCTCTAAAACCAAACTCTTTGTGTATGACATGAAGAGTGTGCAGATGGAGAGTACAGAATTCAACATGGCTCTCTACCATCAAGCTAAACTTCAGAAGGCTTCCTCAAACACATAGCAACATACCTGTTGGATTTGTAGAGTGGCTCTCAGCTTTGCTGGGCCAGGTTTGCAAGATTTAACAAGGGTAGGATCTTACTGTGAGGATGCATTCAAAGCAAGGCCCCAGCCAAGTGAGTGTAGGGAGGCTGCCTCATGCAGGGGGTGGAAATGTGGCAAGGGCATCTGCTGCCCACCTGAGCCAACATCCCTGGGAGAAGCATCTTGCTCCTCTTGAAACAGATCATAGAATTGTTGAATGTTTGGGGCTAGAAGGACCCAAAGGTCATCTAATCCAACCCCACTGCACTGAGCAACTAGAGCAGGTTGCTCAGGGCCCCATCCAGCTTGATCTGGCAAGTTTCCAGGGATGGGGCTTCTACCACCTCGCTGAGCAACATGGGTTTCAACACCCTCATTGGGAAAAATTTCTCCTTTAGATCTAGTCTGAATCTGCCCTGTTTTAGTTTAAAACCATCACCTCTAGGATCTCTGGGGTGGATGTAGTCCCTGTAATAAGGAAGAGGATTATCTTCAGTTCTTTAATTGCTTAGTTTCACCTCCTGGACACAGCTAAAATGAACGTTCAGATCACCTCTGAGAAAGAAGTTCCACTTCAGGAAGCAAACCCAGGAAACATAATGCAGGCAATGAGTTAGAAGATGTGAAGTGATGAAATTCCTGTGAAATGAGAAATTTTCAGAGTGATTAGGGCACCTCTGAGGGGCTGAGCTTCTGCTTTAAGATCCCTGGTGAAGTTGGAAGAGGAAAGGAAAGTGAAGAGCCTTTTTTTGCCCTCTGTAGCTGTTCATTTCTGTCACACCTACTTTGATACCAGGGGAGTGTTACCATTTCCTACTGGTTTCTAGCTGTTGGATTTGGGTGGGATGGGCCTTTCTTTCAAGTTATTTTTTTCAGCCAACTTAAGCACAGTATTAGGTAAATATTTCAAAGTGTGTGATTTGCACCAGTACCATGAAAATGAGGGTTGGATTGTCAAGAGACAGGCAGTAATCTGTGATATGTATTTATTTGAACCACAGCCAAGCAATTCCCCTTAGTTAACTGTGTCTCAGCAGTTTTCTCTTGATAAAATAATTAATATGCAGATAGATGGCTGGTGCCCAGCCATCCTTCATTCTCATTTTTTGGTTTGCATTGTTGATGGCATTGCTTCAAAAGCCATCCTGTAATATCCTTGGCAAATTGATCTCTCTCTCCCCTGACTAATGATCTCCTTTAGCAAATTCTCTCACTGTGTATTGGCCGTAATGTGCCTGCAGCCTTGAGGCTCTCACAGAATCACAGCATGGCTGGGTTGGAAAGGACCTCTGGAGGTCATCCTGTCCAGCTGCCCTTATTCAAGCAGGGCCAGCTAGAGCAAATCATCCAGGAAAACATCCACGTGACATTCTGAGTCTCAGGAGGGGTTCAGGTTGGATATTAGGAAAAAATTCTTCCCTGAAAGGGTTGTCAAGCCCCGTCCCAGGCTGCCCAGGGCAGTGGTGGAGTCCCCATCCCTGGAGGGGTTTAAAGCATGTGTAGATGTGGTGTCTGTGTGCCCAGGATGGGAGCATCACCCCAGCTGAGCAGACAGAGGAGCCAGGCTGCTGCTGCTGCTGCTGCTGTGGGCACACAAACCATGGACACAACAGGACACAAAAATCCTGTAGCCAGCAGTTGTTGGTAGCACTAATCATCTGCTGTACCCAGACACCTTCCTGAGACCCAGAATAAGGTTTGAAACAAACCCCCAGAAGCTGTAACACGGGTTTTCTTTTGCTTTCCTTGTCAACTGCAGGTGATGCAGGTAGTGAAAGAACAGATAATGAGAGCTCTCACTACCAAGCCTAGCTCTCTGGATCAGTTCAAGAGCAAACTTCAGAACCTCAGTTACACAGAAATACTGAAAATACGCCAGTCTGAGAGAATGAACCAGGAGGATTTCCAGTCTCGTCCCATTCTGTAAGTACTTTCTACTCTTTTTTTCTTTGGCATGAAAGGATTAACAAACCTGAATGACATTTGGGAGCTGTCCTGGGGGGAACCCAAGGAGGAAAGGTGTCCAGGGAGCTGGTAGTGGCTTTTTTAAAAAAGAAAACAAACCCCACAAACACCCCAACTTTATTTTCTGTCCAAGGACCTTTAAAAATTCCAAATGTCACTTCTCTGAGCGAGATGGGGAGAAGCCCAGAAGAAGAGGAGCCAACACACACTGGCTCCAGAGAAGAGTGCTGTTTTTGACTTGTCTGTGTTCATGGCATTATCTCTGGTGTGAATAACAAGCAGTTACTGCTTTGTAAATGGTACCCTCCTGGCAGCTACCCAGAGGATTCTCATTTCCTTGTTGTTTACTGCAAGGTCTCACTTGCTAATATTGCCACCACTGCTCCTTCCCATTTCTCAGAATACCCTTTGTTCTGTTCTGTGACAAACAGAGGCTGTTCTTGGCTCTGGACCAAGTCTGGGCTTGGGACTGAACTGATGGCACAAATGATGTGCTGAGAATAGCAGGAACCTTTTGAGATAGCAGAGAGGTGGTGAGGACTCCAGAAGCATCAGCTGAAATGTTGGGAAAGTGGAATTCCAAGTGGAATGACTCGTGATTTTCCAAATCTCCTTTTCAAGGCAAAGGTATAGAGAAGGGTTTGGACCAGAGCATTACAGGATTCAGAAGCAGGATGTTCATTTTGATTTGTTTCTAAAGGATGCAGATATCTAAGTACAAGCTCTGGGGACACGTTTCTCCAAGGGCAGCAGGGCAACAGTGGAAGCATGAGCTAAGTAGAATTACACACTTAAATTTTAATCATACCAACGTGGATCAAAGGGGGAATGTTTTCTTTTATGTTTTCAATGTATTAGGAGATAGGACCTAATGTCCAATTAGGACTCGTGTCACTCATCATAATGCATCAATTAAAAAGCTACAAATGGTTCCAGTCAGTTTTGCATCATTACACTGCTCAGAAATCCCCTGCCAATCCCCTGCAATGCTGAGTGGTTCAGAGCTGCTCAGTACTGCTGAGCTGGTCACCAAAGCTTCCTGTTTTCCCCATGAGTCAGCTGTTGATATTGTCCTGCCCCACCACCCCCCAGCCTCATGAAACTGGCCAGTGCCCTCTGCAAGTTCTTCATTCCTTCAGGTGGTTGCTGCCACCCTGCAGAGTCTCCTCCCCCAGCGTGGAAGGAGTGAAACAACCAAGACAAATAGTTAAAAGCAACTGAAGTGTTCTCAGAGGCTGGTTTCAGATTGAGGACAAAGGCTAAGCCTAAAGGCTGTATGGGCTAAGAGAATCAATAAGGTGTTTAAGCAATCACAGCCACGTTGGCAGAGATTTAACTGCCTGCATTTGCATTTTGATTGCATCCATGATCGCTTCTCCACTGTGAAAAGGAACAGTTCTTTCATTTCCCCCTTTGATTTGATTCCCTGCTCTGCCCTCTCTCAAACTGCCTAGATGGCACCATTGATGGAAGTACAGAATCATGGCCCCATTGTAGGGAAAAGAGACTGTGAGTGAAGAGAGCAATCAGGGCTGGGCTGGAGATGTTCAAAGCCTTGCAGATCCTCCAAAAGAGGTGAAGTCAGCAGCCCTTGGTTAATGCTGCATGAGAATGTGGCAATCAGATGATGGGTTTTCTTGCCTTGAACATGAGTGAGTCTTTCTTCTGCTGTTCATTGTGTGAAGCACTGAAATGTTGAGGTCTCAAGCTGACAGATGAGAGAGCTTTCAGCTAAGCTGGATTTGAATGTAAGCTGGAAAATGTTGCCTTAGATCCTCCTCACTACAAGAACCTTGTTTTGTAAGGCTTAGTTGTTTCTTTTATATGTGTTGTGTGAGGTGAAGTGTTTTCAGTTTCAGCTTTTGAGGAGGGAAACTAAAAAATCCTTCAGAACAGGATCAGTGATTCTGGGATCCTTACTGATCATTGAAACTGCCATTCCATAACAAAAACGACTGGTACCTGTGGAAGGGTTGTGGAAGAAGGTCTCTTGGGAATCCTGTGAGCCTGTAGAGGACTGGAGATGTCCTTGATTCATTAAATGGCAACAGATATCAGTTAATAAAGGATAAAGGTCTGATGTCCAAGGCTGGCTGGTTAAAGGAGAGTCAATGGCAGCTGGAGACCCAAATCTAAGTAACATCTCTGTGAAAACTGGCAACCTAGAGGGAAATGGAGGGATGTGGGTGCTTCTCAGCTTTTTATCTCAGAGGTTTCTCTGCAGTGTTAGAAAAAATCACTGATGCCTGCTCTGAGTGCATGAAGTAATTAGGAGAGGGCTCAGCTACAAGCCAGAATGATTAAAAGGACAAAACACAGGAAAAGCAGTTCTGGGATTACACTTCTGTTGTAATGCTTTAAATGTCTGTAATATGCCCCATCCTGGAAGGAAAACAAGACTCCTAACCATGAACTGGGCAGGTATAACTGGTGCCAAAGAAGAACTGGTACCACTGGAAGAATTTAAAAACCATTTCTAGTGGTTTTCAGATTTGCTGACAATTTGGAAGGCAAGTCAGTGATGTCAGTGTTGACTGTAGTGCTGAGACCAGTGAGATCAGAAAATGAGCACTCATATTTATTACCCTGTGGCTCCCTCAACCCTTCTGTCTTCCCAGCCCACTAACTTTTGCTATTCTTACATGACAGGAACACAGCAGGAAACCAGTAGCAATTTTTAAAGCTGCTGTCTCCTTAGACTTCCCAAATTTGTTCTGTCTCTTTGCAAGGCACAAACTGCTAAGCCAGTGTCATCCAAAGGACAGTGACTAAATTTTTCACAAAGCCTATTTGCATTTTTTTGATCTCCCTTTAGCTCATTGTTCCTGTTTGATTTTAAAATGAAGCAGGAGGACCTGTTTCTTGTACAGAGATTGTTCTTCTAACCCTCCTGTCTTCAGACGGTGGAGTCATGGTACAAAAACCAGCTGAAAACCTTACAAGTCAGAGTAAATTGTGTGTTAGCATGAGCTGCTGAGGACAGTAAGTGGAGGTGACCATGGCAAGGGATGGATGGACCTGTGGTGTGTCACTGAAGACTGTTTCTCTGTGAACTAATGAGTTGGATCCTCAAGCTTCACGTGTCCAAGTATGGGGACTGTAAAACTGCAGAGTGTTACCTCTGAGCTTCATGGTTGTGAGAAGGAATACATGCCCATGTGTAGAGGGACTCCAGCACATCAGCAAAGAGGTGGAAGGTGTCCCTTCCTTCCTTCCTCCCATGGAAATTCTCCCTTAGTGAAGTATTTCAGAGACCATTACCTGTTTATTTTTGGACTAGTTAAATATCCTTCTCTTCCTCTGGTTTGTGGGGCTTTAGGGGACAGAAGAGGGAATACTGTGAGCAAATTGATGTTAATGGGTAGGATGCCAGACTCATTTTTTGTGTTTTTTTTTTGCAAGTGTTTTACAAACTTGATGTTCTGATATCTTCAACACTTGGTTCATGCCAACCATCTCATTTCTGAATTTAACTACCTAGATATCTCACTGATGTTTATGCCAGCCTTGAATGCTTGAAATCCATCCAGCTGGAGGTTTAGTCTGCAGCCTGGGTTGCTGAGTGATCCACCCTGTTCTCTTCAGCCCCTGCTTCCAGCTTTTATCTGAGGAATGGGGAAGCTCATCAGCTCAGTTAAAGCAGTTATTCAAGCACAAAATTCTTTTAATCACAGTATTTAACCATTCAGCATATTCATATCTTAATTTCCAATGAGAAGACAAGAGTGCTTGAAAATTATCCTAAAGGACTAATAATACATTTCCAAAAGGTGGCCTGTTTCTATAGTTACTGTGCTTCCTGGGCTTTTGACCAGCTAGATTTTCACAGCTTGTAAATATGCAGTGGGTTATGCATCAAGAACTCCAACCATTCTCTTACTACCTGGGGAAAGAGGGAATTTTTCTTTAAATCATAGTAACACAGAATGGTTTGGATTGGAAGGGACCTTTAAAGGAACATCTGCAACTAAATCAGGTGGGTCCAACCAAGCTGACCTGGAGTGGTTCCAGGGATGGGGCTTCTACCACCCCCTCCCTGGGCAACCTGGGCCAGGGTTTCACCACCCTCCCTCTGAAACATTTCTTCCTTAAGAAACTGGGCTCCTGAAGCTTTGAAGAAGAGAGAAGATGTTGTTCTCTGTTGGCTACCACAGCTTTGCTGCCTTTTGATGGTGATTGCTGGAACGTACTGCCAGACAGAATGGTTTTTGGTATTTGCCTAATCTGCACAGCAATGCAGAATTATGGGCCTGACAAAGTTCATATTTTATAAATCCTCCACATTCAGCTGTTTTTTTTTTTAATCTTACTGGGATTGCTGTCGAGTTGATGTTTAAACCTGTCTTTTATGTATTCTTAATGAATCTAAGTGAGGATATAAGTGATGAATTCAGACATCTGTGAATCCCTGTGATGCTGTATGAAATCAAACTTTGAAATATGATGTGCATATGTTTTCTGCCTAGTTCTTGACACGTTGAACTCTTACCAAAGTGTGAGGTAGAAAATTGATTTCTGAAGAATATGCAGTGTTATTTCTAACTGCACTGTGGGTTTCTGCACTCCTGGGCAAGAGTAAAGTTTGATCCTTGATCCCTAGTCTTCCATAAAATTCTAATAATGATGAATTAATTGGATGGCATGGAATTAAGAACAAACATCTAGCTCTCACAATTTTGGCTCATTGGCATCGCTTGCTGTTTTTCATACTTGTTTCAAAATATGTTTTAACCTCATTCTGGTGTCCTAAATAATTGTGCTAGTAAAGAATATCAGCAGAGGATCGTGCAACAAAAGGTGACAGACCCTCAAATGAGCTTCACACTTCTTTGTGCTTAAGTGCTCCTATGATGAAAGAGCCTCCTTTGCTGTAGAAAACCCTTGTTGATGCATTAGAAAATGTTATTTTTAGATGAATACAGTAAGAAACAAATAAGTGATTTGCCTGACTCATGCAGTGATGTCATAGCAGGGAGATGGCTGCAGCAGAGATACCCTGACTCATGTTTTATTCTAAGAAAAAGGGGTTTTTTTTGCTGGAGCAGACTAGATTCTGACCCAGGCCTGTCTGTGACTGTTGTCCCCTTCAAACTCCTCGCAGAAACATCTCGTGAGACCCTCTCTTAGAGGAAAGAGGATGGGTTTTTGGTCGTGTTTGACAAGTGTTTACTTTCTTCCCAAGGGAACTGAAAGAGAAGATTCAGCCTGAGATCTTAGAACTGATCAAGCAGCAACGTCTCAATCGCCTTGTGGAGGGCACCTGCTTTAGGAAGCTCAACAGTCGACGTCGGCAAGGTACAGCTCAGGCTGCCCAGCCTGCCTTCTTATGGCACTGTGCTCTAGATGCTGAGATGGGGTTACTGCTTCTACTGGCATCCTTGCTCATAGTGCTGTCTCCAGGAGCCATCTGAAAGCATCTCCTGGTTACAGCTGTTGCAGGATTTCCTGTGTTTCCCTGGAACTGGTTTTGGCTTCATCCCACGGCTCCTCTGGAACAAGTCCAGCATTGGACAGGAATCTCAAGCAGCAGCCTTGCACTCTGAACTGAGTGTTTTGTTTTCTTCCCAGGCTTTGTGTCCATCTCAGAACAAAACCTCTGCCTCTGCAGGAATAGTACATGGAACTTGGTGTAGCTGGAATCAAATCTCTCAGCCTTGGCCCACCTTTAGATAGGGGCTGAGCTCATTCTGCACCCCTCCCTCTAGTGCTGCCTGTCCTTGGGCTTTGTCTCATATTCTCCAATACATTAAATGTATTATGGTGTTGAAATACACTTTTAAAAAGCACTTAGATCAGTAATTTGTGTACCTTCAGATGAATGCTGGGTTGACAAAAGATTATTTTCCCAATTCAATAAGTCATTGTCCAGAGCTGGGTTTACAGCTCATTGGGTACAAACTCTATGGTTCTTTTCCCCTCAAAGAAAGAGGGACAAAACTCTGGACAAAACAACAGGGACGTGGTGTAAATTCAGCAGATAATTTACACAGTTTGGTTTGGCTATCAGTCGTGAGGGGTGTTTATTTTATTCCTCTCACAGCTTTAATCCCAATGACTGAAGTTCTAAGGATGGAGCAGGGTTGGTGGCTAACGTTCTGTTGGCAGATCTCCAAGAGGAAGACAGTTTATTTTCTCTTAAACTGTTGTTAGTTCATGATTTATAGGGTCGAAAGCCTTAAGGGTATAAATGGGTTCTATTTATATGAGTGGAGTCAAAGTTTTACAAAAACTGTATTAAAAAAGAATCAAAATGATCTTTGGTCCACAATTGAGAAGGTTGCTGTGTTTTGTGCCTTGGAGTGCATTGCAGAGGCCACCAAAGTAATTGCTTTGATGTCAGATTTATACTGGGCCAAAAAAGTTCACGTTTCTTTGGAAGCAAATATAACAAACATATAAGAACTTGATTTTCTCTGGTTTTGTGAGCTACATGCCCCTTTAGAAGGCGTGTTTCTGCATGCCCTGAAGAGGTGTGTGTGCTTTATGTCAGCCTCCCTGCATTCCCTGAATCAGGAGTGGAATTATCCTCCTGGGAGGGCAGGAGAAGGCACAGCCATTACAGGAGATGGTGATGCATGAGGCCACCAAGACTGAACTCAGGAAGATCTAATGAAGCAGCAAAGTATGGTTTATAAACACAAGTCTGGTTAGCATATCAGCCATCAGATTGAGCTGGGGTCCTTTTTTAGGATGTAGAGTGCCTGACGTGGTCCAAATAGTAGTGGCAGCTGGCACAAAGCAGAAGCAGCTCTCTTGAAATTGGCCTTTCTTCTTCAGGGTCTCCTGTACCCTAAGCAGAGCAAGCTGTTAAGATCAGGGTTGTCCTGATGTCAAGAACTAGGAGAGGTAGTGGATGGAGGAGCAGAGGTTTAGGTAGTCATATTAAACATCAGTACAAGTCCCAAATTCCTCCATATGTCATCTGTTAGCCTTTCCCCACCTCCCCATCTCCTCTCCCCCAACCCATCTCCAGGTACATGTGTCTCTTGCCACAGAGCATGACCAAGGTCCTCAAAAGGCCATGGTCCATCCAGGCTGATAGGGAGCTGGAAGAGAAATGAGGAGTGCCATGAGGCATCACCATTTGCCCATGATGTGGCAACCTACTGGTGGGAGTATTAAGATCAAGCAGATGTTTTCTTTATCATGTATCCTGCTTCTTTTACCTTCCCTATGATTCTTTTTGTTTCCCTTGAGACAATCCTGGAAGAAATGTCACAAAGCTACAGATTGTGCAAGAGGAACCTGAACGTGCCCTACACAGCAGAAGCTGAAAGCATTAAATTGCTCATTTAAAAAATAATTAACAGGCATTATCCCATGATAAAGACTCCAGAGCAAACTTCTGTTAAAGCTGTTGTTTGAACATGTGGTAGGGCACACATGGTTAGGCACAGTAAGCTGAAAAAATTGACTTACAAAATAATGAGCAGGGAGTTTACAGCCTCTAACAGCCTTTTGAGAAGAGGTGAAACACTTCCATCTATGCTTGGCATTGGAAAACCTCCAATCCAACAGGTGGGATTGGGAGGATGCTGAAGATCAAGCTGTGAGGTGTCTATAGTCAGATCTCTGCCTTTTGTGGTTCAGCACAGGATTATCATCTCAGCAGGACCTCTCTGAAGCTAAGATTCAGAAATACCATTGTTGTCCCAGCAGGATCCTTAACACTTTCACAGGACACGTGGCCTTTCCATTGCAAGGTTTCACAGGAGAACTGCTGCACTCACTCCTGTCTTTATTAAGCATTTTTAATCAGTTGGAAACGAAACAGCAAAATCCAGCCTGCCCTCCTGGTCATTGTTCAGCAGCAGATCATGAAGTTCTGCAAATCCCCACTTTGTTCCTTGACCATGGCCATCAACTGACAGATAGACCTTTCTCCTTCCTTAGTTCATTCCTAAAAGAAAGGGGAGAGGACTAAAGCAGAAGCCTGCAAAGCTCTTTGCAACCCCAGAAGTTATTATTTCCAGTAGAGCTAAGCAGCAGATAAAGGCATTTTATTGAGTATAATAGCTACTTCTGATGCTGTCATCCAGTACATTTGTGGTTTATGTTGCTGGGTGCACTCTTAGAAATAAATTCCCCTTTCAGCTTTATAAAAATTATAGAGAAAATGCATGTTATTGAAGTGGTTTTGCAGCCAAAGGTGAGGTTTCTTTAGCAGTGATTTTTGGAAGAGGAGGTAAAACCTGGTGATACACAGCATTAAATTAAAAACACAAGGCAGCAGGGAAGTCACTGGAAAAGAGAAAGCTTAAATTAAAACAAAAAATGAAGACAGGTTTCCCATCTCTTGCTAGGATAAGTAACTCACACATCTGAACAAGGCCACACTTTGTCTTTTTTTCTGCCAAGCCTCTTTGCTACTCCATAGGCCCATTAAAAATGATATTCTGTGAGTGCACGACTTGCTGTGAGGAACCTGTTAACCAAATATGCCTCAGGTATTGCCACAGGTCAGGTATTCACCAGGGATCTTCAGGGCTTGCTGGCTTTCATCTAGGCACTTAAGACCAGTTAGAGTGACAAGGTGTCACTACAGCTGTATTAGAGACAGGTAACACAGTGAAAGAAAGAGGGTGAGTCCACATACACATAGCTCAAACCCCCACAAATACCTGTGTTTTCAGTGATGTATTTAAAAGTGTGTTTTCCTGTCACCAAATCATACAGCCATGGAGTGGTTTGGGTTGGGAGGGACCTCTCAAGGCCATCTAGTCCAACCTCCCTACAAGAAGCAGGGACATCTCTCACGAAATCCACGAGGAAAACTTCCTCTGAACCCAAAACTTCAGTTGCCCAAGGAAGAATCTCTAGCACTTTAATTTGGTTGCATCAGGGAGCAGTGGGCTAAAAGATGGAAGGACTAATAGGAAAGTATAGATGATGTAGTGTCCAAAAATCATCTCTAGGGACTGTGGTTGGAGATTTCCCTTCCTACAGAGTTTTACAGAGGCAGATGTAGCAACACTGGATGCAAAATAAAGAGTTGTAGCTCAAAGGACTTAAGTTTTGGGGGCTAATTCTTAAAACAGGGCCTAAAACCAAAACAAACACTACTTTTCCAATAAAATTGTGTTCAGTCCCTGGATGACAATAAACCAACATGCATTCTATTTAAACCTGTCCCTCTCCAAGGCACTAAGATCTCACCTTGGTGGGATGTGATAAACTCTAATGTCATGTAGAGCTGAAAAAAGCCACCCCAGCTCTTAAGGCTGAGGTGGCTGTAGAAGCAAGGGATGTTTCCCATCACGACGTGGTGGTGGCCTCCTCAGCCTGGCTGCTGCAGTCCTTTAGTGGCTGAGGGAACCTCGTTAGTTCCATTTAGAGGTTTCATTTAAGGGTTTTCTCCCTTGACAGCAAGGCTGTGGCACGGTGGCAGTTGTTAGTGAGCCCACAGGAGAATCAAGGCAGACGTGCTTCAAGCTACACTCTGTGGCTGTTAGTGCTTTAATTAACCTTGGGTTATGGGGAATTGCTGTAAAAGGCTCCATGAGCATTCAGAGCTAGTGTCTTCCCATAAAACCACCCTTCCTAACAGTGGAGACATCTGCACTGAGGGGGTTTTCCCTCTTCTGGTATTGGAGCAGGACCACGGTTACCAAAACTCTCCAACCCCCTAGGAGGCTGAAGAGCCAAACTTCTCCAAAACTCAGTAACAGCACCAGCCCCATTTGTGCTAAACTGAAAGGAATTAGCTGTATTTTTGTTTTTGAGTTAACACCATCCTCCTGGCCAGGTCACTGAGATGATAGTGAGGCCAAGTTGGCTTTTATTAGGAAAAAAAAAATACTGTTTTAATCTTAGAGTTGGAAAGGTGTATTCCTTTGTACAGCCTGATAAACAATGAGGTGACAGTTAAAGCTAGATGTGAAAGCCTCCAGCTAGACATGAAAGCCTCCTGCTGTAGTTACCAGAGGCTTTTCTTGAGGTAGACAAGGGGCATGGTGGTCAGCCACGAGATTCCACGGGGTGTTTTTATCAAGCATCAAGGTTTGATAATGGTTCTGCTGGTAGAATTCCTTGCAAAAGGCACAAATCTAGAGAAGTTTCACACACATCCTCCTGAGACATCCAAACGAGTTGACTGTGTGTATGCTCTTCAGATAGGAGGCTACTGCAGGAGGGCTCCTGCTCACTCCAGTCTCAAGTCCTTGCAGAAGCTTTGCCAGTGGGGCTTTCCTCTGGGCTCCATGCAACGTGCTGCCTACAGTCCAGGGCTGCTTCTACTTCAGCACCTCTTTTTGTGTGCATCCCAAAACCAGAATCTCAGGCTCTCTACCATGAATCCTTCAGGACTGTGCATGCCTGTGAAGTAGGAAACCAGAATCTCCCCCATGGCTGTTTTGAGCCTTGGCCAGCAGTTTATAAAGTCTTTGGAAACCTTTCTACAGAGGGGGCTGCACGCTCAGGAAGCTCTTTGAAGCATGTTGGGCATCAGCACTGCCAGCACTGATGCCAGAGGAGCCCTCTGTTCCCCCTGGCACTTTAATACCTAGCCTTGCTGTGAGCTTGTGGAGATTTACAGCTTGGATGTAACAAGATTGTGGGTTTTTTTTGACAGCTTAACGTTATGGGATGTATTTATTAAATAGAAAGTGCTCTGACAAGGAAGGGTGACCTCGTTCTTGGCATTTCAGAAAGGGAATTGGCAAGCACCACCCCAGGCAATGTGGTGGCCCAGCTCTGCAGAGGTGATGTTCTTCGTGGGAGAGGATTTTAACAGATATTGTTGAGGGGAATTACATCCCACGAAGCAGGAGTTGGCAGGAGGTGGAAATGTACATCTCCTAGGAAGGGCTAAAATGCCAACTGGTGTGACTCCATGGTGTCACCTCTCCTCGTGACCATGCAAAGTGCTGAGTGATCTGCAGGACAAGGGACTTAACATTTGCTTTTTAAATCTTTGCCTGTTTATGTCCAGTTCCTCCATAAATATGAGGGTGTTCTCCCCTGTCTATAAAAAGAAATGAGTCATCATTTTCCTAAAGTATGGGATATTTCAAATGTATCAGTTTTTGGGTGTCCCACACAGGACAGCTGGCAAGGCTTAATTTTCACACAGTGGGTGCTAAAAGTGGAGCTTTTATGGGTACATTAAAGTTCTCCACTCAAAGCAGTGGTTACTTTGCCAGTCTTCTGTCCATGAGGCTATATAATACCACATAAAACTAAGTCAGTAGTTTCTTGCTAGTATTTATTTTTGGAGCCAGTGACTAAGTCAATAAAAAAAATAGTAGATTAATGCCAGCTTCATTTAATCAAATAAAATTACTGAGCAAAGTCCCTGCCCTAGTTGCCATAAACCTCACAGATTCCTCCTTCTGCAAGAAAAAAAAAGACAGTCCTTCCCAGCAGTGCCTCGTTGGTCTCCTTTGGTGTGGATAAAGCTGATGAGGACATGCTAATGACCTTGTTTCATGTGTTTATTTTAACAGACAAATTTTGGTATTGTCGACTTTCACCTAATCACAAGGTCTTGCACTACGGCGACTTGGAAGAAAGTCCCCAGGGAGAAGTCCCTCATGATTCCCTGCAAGATAAATGTAAGTCCTGCATCAAGACTCTGCTACTTTTGCTTCTTTGATCCTGCTTCCTCTTTATAACTTGTAGCAGGTTTTGTCACACAGGACATTATCAACAGCTCTGCTGATGGAGATAAAGAGCAGAGATTTCCTCCTGCTCTCCTGGCTCTGGCAAGTGCACAAGGTCTTGCACTACGGAGACTTGGAAGAAAGTCCCCAGGGAGAAGTCCCTCATGATTCCCTGCAAGATAAATGTAAGTCCTGCACCAAGACTCTGCTACTTTTGCTTCTTTGATCCTGCTTCCTCTTTATAACTTGTAGCAGGTTTTGTCACACAGGACATTATCAACAGATATGGAGATAAAGAGCAGAGGAGATTTCCTCCTGCTCTCCTGGCTTTGGCAAGTGTGTCTGAGGACTGAGCTCAGCTTTCCAATGAATTTATCCTTCCATCCAGCTCAGAAATGTCATGCCTTTCATGGTGAGGAACATGGTTCATTTTCATTGCTCATCTGAGTGTAGATGTCAAATAAAAACACTTGGGCATGTTCAGGAGCTCTTCCTGTCCGTGGAGACAGAAGTTTCTCCTGTGGCAAACAGTGTAGTGACTGGAGAAGAAACCTGTGGCAGGTAGAGGTCTTTCTCATTATTGTGAGGAGAGGACTTAAAGAGGACATAGTGCTGTGAACAGGGTTGAGAGGACCTCACCATTACTGTCTACCCAACTGGGAGGGGACATGTCTCTGTGACAGCTCCTACCAGGGGATTTATTAGGATTTTTTTTATGGAAAAAATTAATTTTGGAGCCCTTCAGAAAAATCATACAGGATGATGCCTCCTTCATCCTTCAACGTGAGTTGTAGAGGTTTATCCTGCAATCCAAGGCATGTTTTTTATGATATAGAAATAATGACCAGTGTAGTTCTGTCACCAGAAAGTGACTTTGAGCAATCTAGCATTGAGTAAAGAATCATTTCTTTTTGTTCTTTTCTGGAGCTCCATAAATAATAAATGCCATTCTTGGCATTACCAAGTTAGCTTTGTACAAGTATTTGAGTTGGTGGCTCCACTTCCTTCATGGAATGCCAGAAAGACTCATTTTTCCAAAGTTTTTCCAGCCTGAAAATTGAGAAGGGAGAAAACCAGTGATTTAAACTTTGCTGTGTATTGGTAGAACAAAGAATCATTTCTCTTTTCTTCTCCCCCAACCTGTCTCCAGGCAGCACCTTCTGAAAATTTCAAGGTTCTCCCAGATGGAGCCAGGGAGGGACAGAGGACGTTTTTTAAAGAGGAGGAGCCTGTGTGATGCTGGAGCCCTGGCAGTCTGCAGTCACGTTCCCTTCTTTCCATTGCCTTACAGATGGCCTCAAGGATGCTTCATGCTCTCACTGCAGTCTTGGCAGGATGTAGGACAGGGGCTCACGTTGCTGCATTGGCACTGGAAAAGGCTGTTTTTTCTGGCCAAGGCTCAGAGAAATAGCCCTTGAATGTTACAGTGGCATCAGAATGACAGGAGGAGGATGAAGGTCACATCTGAGCTGCAGGCACAGTTAAGAGCCCAGCAGTTCCCAGATTTGTTTGCTTCCACTCTCAAACCCCTGACCCTACCTGCAGGCTTCATCTTGCATCTGCATTTTCCCTAGGCTCTTGAGCCTGCCTGGCAATGTCAGGATCCCACGGGGACAGAAGGGGCCAGACCCACGTTCCCAGTGCATGCCTGCTGGCAGAGCAGTTACTGATGCAGCTGGAGAAAGACACAGTTATTTCATCCACACCTCAGCTTTTCAGGCTGTGAAGGACACGAGAATTACCACAGTGCCACCCCCATTAGAGTTTAATTAAACAGAGCTGAGCATGTTGAGAGATCTGAGATTATAAAGTGACACTGTTGTTCAAAATATATCGGACAAAACTGGCTGGGGAATCTTGCAGAACATTTTCCAGAAATATTCTGGTCATCTTTGGATAGACTCACATGGAATTCTGAACTGTCAGGGTCTGAATATGAGGACCAGATTGTCAGCATTTGGGAGCTGAAAGAGAATAGGTGGGTAAGGAAATGGAAGATCAAGAGAAGCAGCACAAGGCATTTTATGTACCCCTTGCCAAGCCTGACTAACAAATGTCTTATCTCCAGAAATAAATGGGGGGGAGGGAGGGCTTAACCTTTTCACTTCTATGCATGTCACCCCTTTCTTCAGGCTGGCAGAGGCAGCAAGCTGGGCAGACTCCAGCTGGGACAGAAGACAGCTGCCCTCTTCCTCAGGGCTTTATCTGTTGTGAGGGCATCACATCCATCCTCACGCCCTCCAGCATCTTGTAGTCAGCTTCTGATACCATCTGAAGTCTATTCTCTTTTGGAAATCCAGTCTGGTTTTTCAAAGCAAGGAATAAGCCACGTGCCAGATAAACAAAGGTCAGGATGTCACATTATTCTGTGATCCCCCCTAGGAGCTGCATTCCAGATCACACAGCTCACGGGGGGTGAATCCTGGAGAGAAGCCTTCCTGGTTCAGAGATCTAGATTGAGAACAGTCTGCCTTGTGCAAACAGAGAAATTGTTTTTCTGGGCATCCTCAGCAAATGGCAGGAACCCTTTCTTCTTAAGAATACCTTTCTGAGCTGTCTGATGCTGTTGAAGATGTCCCTGCTGACTGCAGGGGGGTTGGACTAGATGACCTTCAAAGGTCCCTTCCAACCCAAACCATTCTGTGATTCTATAGTTGCACTCAAATATCTCCTCTACTTCCCAGTTTGTCCTAGCTCACTCTTTTTTAAAAATAATCTATTTTCTTGACCAAAAAATAGGGTAGTGTCAGAGACCTAAAAAGTCAGCAGGGCCACAGCAGGAAATGCTGAGACTAAAGACAGGAGAGGTTGAGTAACGAAGGGCCAAACAGCTTCCATTTATTTCCATTTTCTATGCAAAAAAAATGAAAGTCCTTTAAAAATGTCTATTATATCCCACATTTTCCTTTTGACCATAGTGCTGAGGTCATCTGTAATAAAATACACAGTGCTGCAGTGCCCAGGGTAAGAGAAAATGCATTTCTCCTCTCCAGTATTTCCATCAGGGCTTGTAAAGAACTGGGCACTAACAGATTTTCATATTATTATGCTGTTCTCTATATAGGAGGCTCTCCTGCAGCCACAGGGATAATTTATAAATTGTAGAAGCTGTCACTCACTGACCAATATTGTATTGTGGAGCATATAGATTCTCCATAATGTAATTACCATTGGCAAATTGACTTCCACTTGAAACTCAGAGAAATTTATCTCTACCTTTTAGTGACCTCAGTCTGTGAATGAATCTTGAGTGGCAGCAGCTTCCAGGATTTTTTTTTTCCTTACCCTTTTTACCCCAATGATTTCTGTTCATTCCACATTTTAAAGCAATTGGAAAGGGTCATTCTAAGCCTTAATGGTCTGTATTGCTGTTAGTACTGGAAAGCAACTGAATTGCTGGTGGGAGTGAAAGGAAAAACTGTTTGAAAACTTCATGCAGGTGTTAATAGAAGGGCAACAGCATCGAGTGAGGTCAGGTCCACCTTGCCAAGTATCTTCTCTCCAGCAGAGCTTCACCTGGATGCCTAGGAAAGAGCAACAACAGGGCAGGCATATTACATTAGTGAGGCAGGAAATAACATGATTGTTTTCTAGATATAGAAGTACACATAAAAACTGTCCAGACACAGGTCCATATCTACATGAAGCACTCTTACCCAAAATAGTCTCAACAGGCAAGAAAAAGCACGCTCAGATTTTTATCCAGATGCCTGAAATTTTGTCCAAACTCAGTTATTTTAGTTGTTTTCTTCCACTTTTCTTTCTTACAGCAGCAGGCTGGAAGTGGGAGAGGAGGGCAGCAATTTCCACACATTAGTCTCGCCTCCTTTCAGCCTCTGTAGCTTTTACACATCTTGTTTATAAGTAATTTTCTGGTTTTTGCTTTTGTTTCTTTTCCATGCAGTGCCAGTGGCAGATATAAAAGCTGTTGTGACGGGGAAGGACTGCCCTCACATGAAGGAGAAAGGAGCTCTGAAACAAAACAAGGTAGGCTCCTCAAATTGGTACAAAGATGCACCCTGCAGAATCCAAAGCTCACCAACTCCCCCTTCCCTGAAGTGACACTGGAGATTTTGCCTCCCAGCCTGCCACCTTTCTGTGTGTACACCCCCCCCTTGGTTTCCACCTCAGACCATCTGAGTTTAATTATTGGGACAACCTCCCCTCCTCTGCTCAGATTTCTTGGCAGATGTGCATCATGAGATGCCCAGAGCACGTGAGGATGGATTTGAGGGGTGATGTCTTCTACCCCTGAAGCAAAGCAGTTTTGGGTGCTGCTACAGAGCAGACTAGTTGGTACCTCCTGCTGTATAGTCTCTGATAAATAACTAGTTTGTTCCAGCTGTATTCTCCCATTCAGTGAGCACTGACACGTGCCAAAATTGCAATTAACGTCCAGTTGAGGATCCCTTCAGGTCCAGACAGGTAGAAAAACAACTGCCAACCAAAAGAGGTGAGGTAAATACTGGGTAATTAGTGAGGTGTGTTCAGCAGTGCATTTGGGGGAAAAAAAAATGTGTAGGAGACAGTGGTCAGCTAAAATTCCATTTATGCTGCCTGTCAGGGTTTCAGTTCAAGAGCTGTAAACTGAACTCAGGTGGTCCAGGGCCAGAATCTTGCCAAGTTTTTGTTAACAAGAATTGCCACCACAGCAAGAAGAAATTGAGTTACTAGCAAAAGTCTGACATCTCTGGTGAAGGTCTTCAGACCACACTTCATGAGGAATGTTCATAAGTTCTCTCTCAGGTTGTGCTGTCTGACCTTATGAGAAGGAGAGAGACTGATGCTCCTCACTCTGACCTAGAACCACCTGCTGGGGGCTGGAACCAGATCAGAGGGTTTGAATCCAAATTTCTAGTTATCCAAAATGGAGAAATTTTGGATCCAACAAGAATGAGGTTTTGAAGGACAAAACAGTGAAGTTGAGAGTTCCTGCTTCAACACTTTAAAAATAAAATGCCTGCATTTCGTGTTCTGATAAATTCTGGCAAAAACAGTTCTGGTAGCACCACAGAAGATGAAACAGCACTGTCAAAACTCCACCACACAACTGTGGCAGCTTCAGAGCTGCAACTCTTCTTTCCTTAACTCTACAGAGAGCATCCTGAGTGTCCTTTGCATCTGCTTTTTACACCCACGAGCTGCTTGAAGTCTATCAGGAGACCTTCATCTCCTTTCAGCATTGGCTTTACACGGCTGGAAATTAAAAAGTAAAGCCAAGCAAGGATAAAAAAAAAATCCCAGGAGGTTTTTTCCTTCCTGATTTCCTGAATCAAGGCACTCACACACACATGCACACCATAGATGGCTCACAACTCCTACCTCATGTTGCAGCTGAACCCTCAGCAGCGCTTGGCTGGGGCATTTATATGGTGCATATAAAGCATTTTTAGTGCTTCCTTGTCTTAGCCCTCCGATGTCCACACAAAAAGGAGAGATGGGAAAAAGGAAAGCAGTAGGTGGCAGAGATGGAAATGTGTCATCTTTATGGAGCAGTTAATGTGTTTAATGCTAAATGGCAATGCTGCAGAGCAGTCTTTCAGCTGTCAGCATCGCTCCGTTTCCTCTGGTGGCTTTGGACTGGCATAAAACTTCTGGCTGAGAATGTGAAGCTCAGGAGCTGGTGGGGAGCATGGCTGCAATGTTCCATAATTGTGAAGGTTTCACTATTTCTGGTATGGTGCAGGGGTTTGAGGGGTTTTTCTTCCTCAATTCCTTGCTTCCTCCCCTGGCGATCAGAGAAGTTGTGAAATTAGCTGTCATCCTAATCAAATAATCTTACAACTGTTTAACTGACATCAGAAGAATAAAATTTTTTGCAGAGTACCACGTTAACGTGGACAATGGAATGAAAAATTTTAAGAACTGTGTAAAAATGACCAAAAAACAGCCAGAGGCAGCACTTAACGTGGCTGTTTGGTGTATGAAACCTTTTCCTTCCTGAAACTTCACAGTTGGTGATAGATCTTTTCAGAGGCCTTTTCCTCCTCTTTATTCCTCCTCCTCCTCTTCCCTGTACATATATAACGACCACCTTGATGCTTATTCATTGGCAGAGGAGAAAATTGAATGGCAGAATGCCAGCTCTGTGAACATAGCTGGAATTGCCAGAATGCCCATAACAAAGGCTTCAGCATCTCTTCATTTGCCACCACATGGTCATTATCTTTCTAGTGGGACCATTTAGAAATAAATAAGAGTTGAACTGAATTAGAATTTGTGTGCATATGGAGCTGGAACAACCTGATAAGACCAGACCTGAATCCGTTGTTCGTTTTCCTTGTGGTTTTAAATAAGGTTTAATTTTAAAGTCCTTGTTTAGAGGGACATGGTGGGGCCCAGTCACTTCAACAAGCATCTAGGGAAGGGCAGAGGTCTCAAATGTACAAGAGCAGAAAGAGTTAGGAGTGAGTTCAGCAGATTGAGGAGGGGGAAGGAGGAAGGCAAAGCAAGGAGGGAAGGATGAGGAGCTGAAAAAAGCCCTAAATTTAACTCTTTCTCATTCTCTGCCTGCTTGGGAATGACCAAACATGTGTTTTCCTGGCTTATTCTTCTTTCAGGGAGGGATTTTCTCCCTTTTTCATTTCTTCCAGCTGAACAAAAACTTCAACCCTTTGTAACTCCTCAAAGGACAGATACTCAGGGGCCAGGCCTATGGGGTGGTTGGTGACCTTGATGAAATGCAGGAACATGACAGCAGAGCAGGAGAAGCCCTTTTTTGCCAGGCTACATTTTGTTTCCCAAGCTCAGCTGCACGCCTCGGCGTGTTGTGTCAGTAATTTATAACACCCCGTGAGGAGATAGTGCCAGGTTTGTGTGGGCAGAGGGAGATTTGTTTCTCTAATGAGAAACATCACTCTTAATAAGGTGTGGCTGAGAGACATGCCTAAAACACACACAAAAAAATAAGGCTCCATGAGCTGTGAGCCATTTGTTTCCTGAGTGTGCCAGCACTATTAGCATCTGGAGCTTCCGTGGGGAATTAGCACAGGCTTGTCTCCTGTGGCCTGGCAATACGGTGAGTTGGACCTGATAACTAAACTCAAGGAAACCAAGAGCATTTCCCATGAGAAGCATGATCTCTGATCATCCAAGATTATCCCTAAGGCTTGCAAGATTTATGATTCAGGCTCTTGCTTTTAATCACGCACGATGAAAAATCGTCGAATCAGAAAATGGTTCAGATAGAAACATTGACTGATTTGGGCTAGAAGGAACCTTTGAAGTCAACTAGTCCAACCCCCCTGCAGGGAGCAGGGACATCTGCAGCTAGAGCAGGGTGCTCAGAGCCCCATCCAACCTCACCTGGGATGGTTCCAGGGATGGGGCAGCGACCACCTCTCTGGGCAACCTGGGCCAGGGGCTCAGCACCCTTGTTGTAAAAAGTTTCTTCCTTCTCTCTGGTCTAAATCTCCCTCTCCTAATTTAAAACCATCATCCTTGTCCTGTTGCAACAGGCCCTGCTAAAAAGATTGTCCCCAGCTTTCTCATAGGCCTCTTTGAAGTACTAAAAGGCTCAAGAAAGTCTCCCTGGAGCCTTCTCCAGGCTGAACAACCCAAACTCTCTCAGCCTTTCTTCACAGGAGAGGTGTTCCAGCCCTCAGGTCATTTTTTATGGCCCAAATGAAGTCCAAAGAGCTCTGTCTGATTCAGACCAGGGGTAGCAATCTAGACCAGTGTATATGCTGCAATCCCCAAAGTCATTTCCTCCACTTCAAAGCCTCGTGTGGCAAATGGAAGAAGCCACATCTCTCATCACCTCTGGCAGTGCAGGGGCTGTTGTCAGCTGGGAATCAGCAAATGCAGGAAGCCAAGAGGCAAAAAGAACAGGACATATGATACAGGTCCTAGTTTGGAGTCAGCAGTCTCCTCTGTAGCCACATCTTTTTTCCACAGAGTTATTCTCTCTGGATCAGCCACCTTACAGGTTGTAAAGTCCTTGTAACAGCACTTGCAGTGATCACAGAATCCCAGCATGGTAGGTTTGGAAGGGACCTCTGGAGAACATCCCATCCAACCCCCCTGCTCCAGCAGGGTCACCCAGAACAGGGTGCCCAGGAGGTCCAGGTGACTTTTAGGCAAGGTCAGTCCTTCATGAAGTCATTTTGGCACCTTTGAAATTCCAGCTTCAATGCTGAGGGGAAAAAAGATGGTTGTTTTTTCCTATCCTGAAAGTCATTGGAGTCTAACCCAGATAGTTCAGTCTGACTGAGGCTGCTGATTCTGGTTCAGGTAGAAACAAAATGACAGAAATCTCATGAATAATTTAACAGCTTTCCAGCAGTGAAAAGAACATTAAATATATTAACTGTCCTGGCAAGACTTTTTGATCCAGGGAATCAAACCTTGCAGAACTTTGCAAGTTTAATCTGTGGGTCTTCACAAAGAGTTTGTTGCAAGTGTCCTGTTGCCCATTAGGTTGGATTTTAGTCCTCCCTGTTGCCTGGCTCAAATTTAAACTCAACTATTAAAGTCATCCAGGACTGAGTGATCCACAGTCAGAGCTGGTGGGGTGGAGTTTGTTTTGTCTGAAGCATCTGTGGTGCATTAATGTCTCTTCCTTGTCTTGTTCCAGGAGGTGCTAGAGCTTGCTTTCTCTATATTGTATGACTCCAGTGGCCAGCTGAATTTCATTGCTCCAGACAAGCATGAGGTAAGTCAAATTCAGAGGACAGAAACTTCTTTTGATCCCTCTTAGTTGCTTTATGGCAGCAGCCAGCTTATAAGAGCATATCAGTGGTCATGCTGGTGCAGAGTGCAGGTCCATCCAACCCTGTGTCAGGTCTCACAACAAACTGAAAGCAGAGGAATCAGTGTGGGAACAAGACCTTCTGCAGTTTCCCTGCATATCCTGCAGCACAGAAGGAACATGCTTTGTATTTGGACATCACAGAGCACAGGGGGGTCCAAGTTCCACATCAGCATTTCTAAGCTCTACTGAAATACAAACCATAACTAAGAGAAAGAAGGGAGCTTGGGCAGACCTCACAGTTTCCACAGACCTTGCTTGCCTCTTCCTTGTGTAGTGAAGGTTTCTCCTGCTCTGAGCTACCCTGGGGGATTTTTGCTGTGTGTTCACTGCAGTGGACCTTAGTTAGACACCAAAGATCTGTGCAAGCCCTTCAAGAATCACTGCTCAGCCTCAGCTCAGCGTGCTGATGCCACCATGATCAGGGGAGGTTACACCATTGTTTGGACTCAGTTTCAGCCAGAGCTAATTAGCTAATTTAGCTAATTATTGGATGCCTTCCTCTCAAAGAATTTCCAAATAAACATTTAGCAGGAGGCACTAGATGAAAAAAAACCAAGAAGGAATACAGTTTTCCCTTCTCATTTGTGAAGCAATGAGCACTGCTGCTCCATTGGCACATTTATTGAGTGGTGTCATTCTTGGTCTCAGTTCAGGGCAGGGTGTTAAGAGGATGAAATGCAGAAGAAATGCTGTGTTCTACTGCAGTGCTACTCAAGTGCAGGAAATTGCATTAGCAGTGAAGTGTGTTTAGTTACACAGCCTCAGCATTTGCAGTTCTGGATTAAAACCTTCAACTAAATGTTAATTTTGGAGAGATGAAGTTATGCACGTTTGGGTTTTCCTGGGGATTAATATTTGAGTGGCATTTTCAAGCGTGTTCGTTTGTTGTTTAGCCTGGAGAAGAGGAGGCCAAGAGGGGATCTGACAACATCTAAAGGGTGGGAGTCAAGAGGATGGGGCCAGACTCTTGTCAGTGGTGCCCAGTGACAGGACAATGGGCAGAAACTGGAACCCAGGAGGTTCCACCTGAGCAGGAGGAGAAACTTCTTTCCTGTGAGGGTGCCAGAGCCTGGAGCAGCTGCCCAGAGAGATTGTGGAGTCTTCTTCTCTGGAGAGATTCCAAAGCCTCCTGGACATGACTCTGGGCACCCTGCTGTGGGTGACCTGCTGGAGCAGAGGGGTTGGATGAGATGATCTCCAGAAGTCTCTTCCAACCCCACCAACTGGATGACTCAATTGCTCACAATTGTGTTAACACACCTATTATCTTTATTTCTCTTTTTGATCTTGTGCAGCTGCCTTGAAACAAAATTAGCTTCCAAAAAATACCCCAGGCAGAGGCAGCAGTCTTTGCTGCTACTTGAGAGTTCCCAAGTGGATGTTTCCCAAAGGACATCTCACTGCCTCTGTGCTTTTCCACAGTGGGCAGAAGAGCAAGATGTAATTAAAGCAGAAAGTAGGAGTGCTCAGAGGAGGCACTCAGAAGGAAAGGCAAGGAGCATGTCATGAAGGTGATGACTCTTCATCAAAGTAACAGGGGTGCTTATCAATAGAAGTGCTATTTTAGCAGCCTTGTCAGCTCAGGAGAGACTTGGGAGCTGACATCTCAAGATCTGGAAAGCTTGAAGCACCAGCAATGATATTGGTACATGACAATTTCAGGTCAGATTTAGAAGGGTTGAGTTTTTTTTTCAAGTACTTCTGCAGTCTTCGTGATCGTACTGTGAAGTTTAAAGGTGGGAATTGTGTCCTAAAAACAAAAATGGAATTAGGGTCATAGGGTGATTTGGGTTGGAAGGGACCTTGGATGTGTCCCCAGTTTGACCTCCTGCTCAAAGCAGGTCAGCAGTGAGCTCAGCCCAGCTTGCTTAGGGCTGCACCCAGGTGGATGGAGCCTGCACAACCTTTCTGACCATCTGGTTCCACTGACTTGACTCCCAAGGTATTTTTTTTAATCAAAACTCATTCTGGAAGCAATATCCTTGAAATTTGGCCCTCACTGTGGCACAGCAAATTTTGGCAGTACCCTTAGCCATCCGTTGGGGCTCATGGCTAGCCAGAGGATTGAGCACTGAGAGATCCCTCCATTGTGTTTGGTTTTCAGTTGAATCCTAATAGCTGGTTTCAGCTACACAGCAAAAAGGTGGATAAATCTTACCCTGGATTTTTGACAGAGAAACTGATGAGGGAAGCTATAATTAGGCTTCATTGGAGTTTTATGAAAATGAATCTGTACAAAATTAATTTTTCAGTGGCTCTTAGTCTGGTTTACATGCTAAAAAGTTGACAAAAAAAAAGCTGCTGAATGAATGCCTCTGTTTATCCACCATCTCATTAGGATTTCTCCCTGCTCAAACTGTACAGGGGTTTAATTTGATGCACTTGCCAATATGGAGATGAGAGAGGAAGGCCCTTTTCCAGGCTGTTGCACTCATCTGAACTTGGGGTTTGTGGGCCCCAGATGAGCTCTGTGTGGAAGAGGAGAGACCTGCAGCTCTGCTTGCTGCCTGGCTGGGTTTCCTCCCAGGAGGAGGCCTTGGCTGGACTCGCTGAGCAGGTGATGGACCATCGGTGTCAGGGGCTGCATTTGGGGGGGAGGGATGCTCAGAGCCTTTTGCCTTTCTGCTCCTCTCCTCAGAGTCAACTCTGGGAGAACTCTCCCAAGGCAAGATTTCAAATGGATCATTAAAAAAAAAATAAAGAGATGTGTTTAAAACTAATGGCATTTCTAGGATAGATGAATTCTGGTGTTCTGCATGTGCTCCACCAAAACTACATGCTTTAGAAGCCTTCAGGGGCACACTTTGGCAGGCTGAGGGGTTTATTTAGTGCTTGCTAGCAGGACAACCTGAACCCTAAAGTCTCTTGGATACATCTAATCTCATTTTAAAGCTGCAGCTTGGTTTTCCAACACCCTGGGTGACATCTTAGCTCTGCCTCTGTCTCCTTCCTGACTGAAATGGATTTCACTTCGGATGCTGAAGTGCATTAACCCTCCTATTTTTAAAATAGCCCCTTTTTCTGGATGAAGACAGACCCCCAAGAGGGGGTTTTCTCTCCCTTCCTTAAAAATAACCCTCATTTCTGCTGTAGGATGAAGTCAACCGTGGCTATCTTTAAACTTGGCAGCATCACGTAGCAAATGGTCAGCTAAATTTAAAATCCATTTTTTTTTTCTGGCATGAAATCTAGCAGAAGTATTTGGGAGATAAAAATGCAGTTAGGGTTGATTTCATTTTCTCCTGCAAACTAGGACGGAAGTTCATCACTGAAATCTTTATGTTTAGCTGATAGCATTTGAGTACTTCTGTCCATTATTGAATAAATGGCTTGTAGCAATAAAATGGAAGCGACTGACTTGACAGAAGTTGACTCCAGCACCAATCTCTTGGGTTTGTTGCTTATTAAAATGGTTTTTCAACCCGTGTTTATCACAAGCTGTCAGCTGTTGGGGAAGATGACTTGTCCTGGTAGGAAAGAGCTAACAGTAAGGAAGAGGTTTGAGAGGCTGGTTCAGCATTTAGGTAGCTTGGCATTTAATTTTCACAGAGGACACGGCACCAGTGGACTCTTGTCCTTCTCACAGGATGTTCTTTGGTGTAAAATAGTGATGAAGTAGGCAGAGATAGGTAAGTGAGAGCCTGTCTTTGTGTGGGTCAGTTGATAACCACCTCATCTGCTGGAAGGAAACCCAAGATAAAGCTGGGTAGTCAGTACAGGGTCTCTTCCACAAAGAGTTGAGGATTGTGGGTGGGATGCAGTTCACCCAGCTTAGCTGTCTTGGAATTTGGAGTTTAGTGTAAGATAGTCCAGCTTTTCCTGTGAAGTACTGAGGAAGGAGAAAGAAAAAGGGAGAAGATCTCTCCAGAGGTTCATTGTCCTAAGTATTGTTCTTTCTGCCATAACTACTGAAGAATATTCAACGAGAAGTTTGGAGGAGAGAGCAAACAACTGAATAGAATCATAGAATCACCATGGTTGGAAAGGACCTCTAGGACCATCAAGTCCAACCTTCCTCCCAACATCTCCCTAACCACTAGACCATAGCCTCAAGTGCTCCATCTACTCATTTTTTGGACACCTCCAGGGATGGTGACGCCACCCCCTCCCTGGGCAGCCCATCCCAGTGCCCAACCAGTGAAGAAACCCCTCCCAGTGAAGAAATCCCTCCCAACACTCCCATTTCTTCCCAGTTTTAGGGCATTATTTTTCCACTTCTGACCAGCTTGGTGGAACATACCTTCTCCATGATGCTAGCAAACAAAATGAATCCATCTCCTTTTAGGTCTCGAAGTCCCTGTGGGAGCAATAACCGTAGAGGACCAGGCCAGGCAAGAAATTTGCCCACAAAAAGTCCATGAATGGTAATTTCTGTGTTTTTTTTTTCCCCCTGTGCAGTACTGTGTGTGGACCGACGGGCTGAACGCCCTCCTGGGGAAGGACATGTTGAGTGACCTCACCAGGAACGACCTGGACACTCTGCTCAGCATGGAGATCAAGCTTCGCCTCCTGGACCTGGAGAACATCCAGATCCCAGATGCTCCCCCACCCATCCCAAAGGAGCCCAGCAACTACGACTTCGTGTATGACTGTAACTGAGGCTGCCACCCGACCTGGCTTCAAAACTGGAAATGTTATAACTGGAGAGAGATGAAAAATAAACAACAACAACAAAAAAACAGAAGAGCGTGAGGGAAAAAAAGAAAGCAACCCACTTGTGCACCTTGGATCTTGGCTTTGGGGAGGGGTGTAGAAACCTTTGCATTCCTCCTGGTTCCCCACATCCCTTCCTTCCCCCCTTCCCATCTTCCCCATTGCTCATCCAAATCCACATTGCTTTAATTAACTTGTCATTGGAGGTGGTTGGCCTCAGGTTAGGCAAAGACTGCCACTAAGCAGCACCCTCCCCAGGACTTTTTTTACATTTTTAATACTGGAATAGACATTCTTAACTGAAGGATGATGTTCCCTGACTGCATGCCTGTGAAACCCACTTGGCAGGGCAGAGGCTTTAACTGGAAGCAGGAGGGAGGTAGGGAGCAGAAGCAGCTGCTGTAAGCAGAACATCTCCCCAGGCACTCACTCCCAAGAGTCTGCTCACAACCTGACGAGATGAGGAAAAATCATTAAACTTCTCCCCAGTGCTTGCACCATCCATCCCTGCCCATTATTCTCCCCACTGGTCACCTCAGCTCTGGCCACCAGCACTCACCCAGCCCCTTGGCTCCCAGAATGGAGGTTTTGGCTGTACCATCCTCAGCAGCTCCTCACTCCTCCTCCCCCCAGCCCTCACTAGCAGCTCACTCCCACACACTCCCTAGGAGGCCACTGGCCTGTCCCATCCCCGTAGCGTTCCCAAAGCCTCAGTTGCCTCTCAAATTGGCTTCTTGGTGGTTTTTCCTTCCCTTGCTCCAAAGCTCAACAGCAATTTCCACAAACTGCAGCTGCCAAACATCCAGGTTTACGTTGGGGTCATCGCTACAGTGTCAGAAATTCAAGAGGGATTTTGGGGTTTGGTTTTTTTTTTTTTGTACGGGTTCTAAGTTCTTTTTTTTTTTTTTTTAATTTTATTTTGCCAAAAAAAATATATTTAATGAAAACTAATTTCATTGTGAGTACTTTTGGGGGGACAACTTCACTGTTGAATAAAAATCTTGAGTTGTGATGATTCTTGGAACTTTGTTTTTTCTTCTGGAGTTGGATTTTCTTTGTGGTTTCTAGGAATTCTGGAGTGTTTGATACAGAGAGGAGAGGGAAAGGTGGAACCTTTGTCTGCATCTGGTTTGATTTGCTTGTTTGTTTGTGGTGAGATGCTTCCAGAGATCTCCTTCCTGTGGAAGGACCCTCTCTGAATCCAAAATCATGGCAGAGGGATGTGCTCATGGTCAGTCCAGGGCTGCTGCCTTCACTGTGCTGGCTGGAGCAACTGTCCGCCTGTGTTTCCATTTCCTCCCCAGAGAGTGTTTCTGGCTGCAGCAGGTGGGTGTTGGGGGTGTTTGGGCTTTGCAGGACGAATCTTCTCCCTCCCCAGGTTCTTCTAGGATCTTTGCAGCAGTTCCTACATGCCTGGACCTCACGAGGAGACGTGAGTTGGTTTAGGGGGAGATGGATGGTGAAATAAGACAAAAGGAGGAGACAGAGTGGGGGAAGATTCAGCCTGAATGAGAAGAGGGATGTGCAGCAGGAGATGTGGGAGTTGAGATGTTTTATTCTCTGCAGCCTTGTCAGACTACAGCAAAGCCAACCCCTGTGGCACTGATGGCACCATCAGCACTGGTGCTGTGGAGCAGACACTGGGGAAGTCCCAGGCTGGACTCAGGGGCAGGCAGGGACTGTTCTCAGGGGCTG